TTCAGTTCCAGGGTCACCAGGAACTTTGTCAGAGGCTCTCCACAAGTGGGCAGGAGAAGACATGTCTTGTAAAAATATCAGCATGTTTCCATCTGCACATCTAAGCACTTTGTTATCTAAAAAAAAGGCAATCAGCTTATTTATTCCTTGCACAGATTACTGAGATAAATTAGGAGTGAGAATAAATATGCTCCAGATGTGGGGAGTGGTGGTACAAGCTAAGGACAGGGAGATCCCAGAGCAGGACACACCTCAAGGGAATGCAAAGGGAACAGAGAATTCAAACAATCAAGTAATTGAGAGCTCATTTTTGTCAGTTCTCTGTGTACATTCACAGCACAGCACTCCGAGATCTCCATTTCCATAGGGTTTTCCCACGAGGGCTGGAAGGCAAATGTCATGAGAACATTGTGTATGGATCTTCTAAAGATGAACCCAGAGAAACTCGCGGGAGGGGGGAGCGAAAGAAATCCTAAAAGACAAGTTCATTTATCTTCCCAAAGAAGGGAGGGGGGAGGATTTACAGACTCATTTGTTCTGCATGAGGATGGGTGTGCCACCAGCCTGTCAAGTAGGCAGAAAATACTTTCCAGGACTGTATTTTTTTTTTTTCAGTCTCTAGACTCACAGCGAAATGCCAGGGATGTTAGGAGGAATTGGAAAACTGTAGTTGTTAAAATATTAACGACCCTGCCCCTGACTGTCAAATAAATCTAGTAAAAGTGGCAGCTAAATTACTCAGTTCCCACAAACTTCAATGAAAAGAAGTATTTGGCAGGAAAGAATATTTTGTCTTAAAATTTGGAGATAAAAGTTAAAAGGACAGCGACCTCCAAATACTTCCCAGGCGTATCCCCTTTGGAACACAATTCAGAGCCCTGAGAAACACAGGCGAGTGTTTGCTTTGGTTTTCAGAGCTTTTTGTTTGTTTGTTTCAATCAAGTTTCTCTCAACAGGAAACTTATCTCACCAAATTTGATCAACAATACTGAAAAGAGCAAACAAGAAGAGGTAACCTGCAAAGCTCCTCTCAGAAGGAAAACATTTTCGCCAACAGCTGAACTTGAACATTATTTGACATTTGAAATGGTCAGTGGTTTCTAAATTAATCTAAATGGCTTAAAAATACAAGAGAATGGAACACTTAGGAAAAACCAAAGGCTGTTTTGGTTGTGGTTTTTTTTTTAGTTTTGGCTCTTAATGCCCCCCAAGTTGATTTGCTCTTCCAGATGGTCAAAGGAGGGGATTCATCCCCTCTACTCTGCTTTTGTGACACCTCACCTGGAGTACAGGAGAGGGCAGGGTTAGATGGGATATTGGGAAGGAATTGTTCCCTGGGAGAGTGGGGAGGCCCTGGCACAGGTTGCCCAGAGAAGCTGTGGCTGCCCCTGGATCCCTGGAAGTGTCCAAGGCCAGGTTGGACGGGGCTTGGAGCAACCTGGGCTAGTGGAAGGTGTCCCTGCCCATGGCAGGGGGTGGCACTGGATGAGCTTTAAGTCCCTCCCAACCCAACCCATTCTGGGACTCTCTGGCTGATCTAGCAGGGCTTTGAAAATATAAAGCAGCAGAGCATTGTTTTACGGGATCCAAATTCTAAGACAAGCTGAGATTCCTTGATGAGTCTCAATAAAAAAGCCATGAAAACTTTTTGATGTTCTTCCAGGCCCAAAACCATTATTGTGGCTCAATTACTGGGGACTGCCCATTAATGCTGTGGAAGTGGCCCCTTGTGTTCTCCATCAAAACCAAAGCCAAATTTTAGCTACACTCATAATTTAGGATTTTTGCCTGTTTTCTCTTGTCCACTTAAATACCTACAGTTGCTCATTGTGCTGTTACACAGGCCCCAAATCCACGTTCCCAGAGCAATGTTTACTCTCAAATTATTTCTTCTGTTGAGCTTCACAGGTAGAATGGTTGACACACGACCATCATTAGGCTTTTGATTAAAGAAACAGTGGAAATAATGAGGGAACACCCTTTACAAGCAGGGTAATTATCTCAGAAAAATGGTACCAGCCCAGGTAGGTTTCTGCAAGTCCTTTAGTGCAACAAAGGCAAAAAAAAAAAGGAAAGGAAAAGAACTGAAACTTCCAACTTGGGGGACTGGGAAGGAAGCAGAGATTCAGATGCTGAATCTCCAACTCATATTAAACTAAAAATTAGGACAATACACGGAGATGCCCAAATTGTTCTGTGCAAGCCACACACAGCCTGTTTGTTGATGCTGAAAACACTTGTTCATCATTTGGACTCATCCTCAGGATGAATTTCTCATAACATTTGAACAGTAGGAAGCTCTTTATGGGGCATCATTAAGAAGAAAAAATACAAAGAACCCCTCAACAACTAATGCACATAAACCAACATAACCTCACTTTTAGCTGCCAGCTCTTTAGAAATGGGTATTTCCAAGCAGCAAAGTCTTATGGTGAACTACAGTTGAAAGGTTCAAGGTCTGGATGTAGCATCTTTTTAATAAAATCCACAATTTTTAAGAGCAAGACAACCAAGGGATGAGAGGAAGTTATTCCCTTCTCATTTACTGTTTTTTTTCAGCCAAATTTCTTCAGGGGGGCTCTAAGCATTGTCATTTGACCCACCTAAAAATGGAAGAGACACTGGCCCTCCTCAGACACTTTGGAAGTATTTCCCATCACACAGAAATTCTCGAGCTGTGTCTCTGACAGCCAAAAGAATATCCTCAGCTTTGTGCTCAGCAACTGGCCAGGAGGTTTTTTCCAGGCTTCTGCTATTCCAGTGAACACTCTCATCAGTGAAGCAACAGCAATTCTCACACCCAATCATTTTGCTACTTAAAATATTTTTTAAGATTTCATTTTCAGTGCACACATGAAACTAAAGTCAAAAAATAACAATAACAATATAAAAGTGTTGGTTTTTTTTCCCAGACAGTCCCATGTTTCAGCATTGGTCATTAACATCAGCAGGCCCTTTTTGCAAGGATGATGAAGTCAGGTTGCTGCCCTAATCAAGTTCTAAAATAAGTAATTGCATTTTCTCTGTCTTAACTCGCCCTCTCAACGAGAGGGATTATTTTTCACTGCCGAGCTGAACGTTTTTTTTTCCTGTTGCACTACAACATGAAATGCTTGCAATGTTATACCAGGGGACTGGAAGGAGCTGATCTCTACAGCTCTGCTTTGCAAACACTGCCGGGGCCCCTGGGGATGGAGCTGCCCATGGAACACGGCGGTTTTCCGATGAGCAGCTGCTTCCAGGGACACCTGATACTCTCTGATGAACCTCCCTGAGCCCAGAGAGAGCAGGGGATGGTTGTGGTAATTGTGCAGTGACTGTGCAGACCCAAGAGCTCTGGTTACACTGGCAGATGAGCAGTTGGCTGATGGAAACACCATTAAAAGAATTAACTCTGCAGTCGTGACTTTTAAAACTCACCCTCATTTCTAACCTTAGCAGGAGGGAAAAGTAAAAGAAAATATTGCCACAGAGCAGATTAATTCCCACAGAACAAGGGGCTTGGTTTGAATGAACTGGACCTGGTTTGAGTTTCCATTAAAGACTTGCTATGCAAACCAGAAAACAACAACTGGCACAACTCCAGCCCAGCTCAGTTACAAAACTGCAATAGTATCAGTTTAGAATAATTGTGGATCTGGTTACAATTAGAGATAATTTTCTAGCTGCAATAGAGCAGGTCATGGATGGTGGTCATGTGGGAAGTCATCTCTCACCCAAATGATTGAGGGAAATAATTACCCTTGAGTTTTCTGCCTCTCTGGGCACCAGAAATGCTCTCACCTCCTGGTCAGTGAGAGATGCCTTCCCACACACTGAACCCAAAGGGGAAATAATGCCAGTACCTTTCTGGAATTCATTTGGTGTCATCAGTAAATAAACCCAGCCTAAAACTTTCTCCTGAATCACCTGATCAACAATTTCCTCCTCACTGCTCAAACCATCATCAGCCACATCTCCACACAAGGTGCTCATGGCAAAACAGAAACGTCTCAGTAACTGCAGAGACAAAGACAAATGTGCACAAATCCTGCACCATCTCTGGGTTGTCCGTGACATCCCTGTGTCCCTCTGGGACTCAGGAGCCTCCTTGTCTGTGGAGAAACAGGAGGCAGCACCACACAGCCATGGGTGTCCCCAGGAGCCTGTGGGGTTAGTTCTGCTTGCTGGGAAAGGGCCCCAGCTGAACCAGATCCATGGGTAGGTCTGTCAGCTGGTCAGATGTGAGCAAAGCAGCTCCTTAAGCCCCTGTCTCCTCCTATGTGAGCAATAAGCTCAGCCCTGACAGCAAACAGTCCACTGGGCAATCTCCATCCAGCTGATGAGGACAGACAGGTTTCAAAGCAGGACGGCAAATTTCTTTAAAAGGGACACGGATCCATGGAATGATGACCGCTTGTTTTGATGGAACAAACAACCCCCTGATGAAAGGGGCAGCTGCAAGGGCTGGGTGTTGATGGTGGTGGTTGCTGGCACAACACACGATGCCTGTCGGGCACACACTGGCCACGCCTGACGTGGCATCCAGCAGGAACTGGTGATGGAATGACTCCCTCTCCAACTCATTTTTTCCTCTATAAATGTAACAGTGCAACACACATGATCGGGACATCAGCCACAAACGCTGGACTGGCACATTTAAAATAAATTTGTGCTAAACTGAAAGAATTGTTCTGAATTTTCTAAACATTTATAGCACATTCTTTGAAGCCAACAGCACCAAGTACTTGCTACACAGAATCATGGAATCATTCAGACCTTATATATCACTAAGTCCAACCATTAACCCAGCACTGCCAAACCTGCCACTAAACCATGTCCCCAAGTGCCACATCCACAGGGCTTTGAAACCCCTCCAAGGAGAGCAAACTGTCTTAAGATTTTAAAATGCAGCAAAAATTGTAATAACATATGAATAAATTCACTCAGAATCTGGAGAACACAAAACAATCTAGAGCAGAAGTTTGCAACTCGTATCAATGAGAAGGAAAGAGCTTTACCTCCCGAGTGGGGTGGGGGCCCACACAGCAGCACCATGCCCTGGCCCTGGCGCACAGACACCGTGCTCCTCGTCCTGGTCTTGAAGTTCTCCAGGTCTGCCAAGAGAGAAAGAACTCGGTCAGAGGGCCATTAATGGTTTCTCCTCGTGAGAAGCACAAAAGCTTCACCAGGGCTTCGCTGCACGACGTGGGAACAAAGTGAACGTCGGCGTGGAGGGGGGTTGGTGGGACCCGGGTGGAGCATCAGAAGCAGCCAAAGGATCAGCAAATGCCTCCACAGGCTGGCAAGGGGGAAAAGGTGGTGATTTACCCACAGCAGAAGACACACCTAGAGAAACCTGCAGCACCTGGAACATTGGCAGAGCTTTGTTTTATGAACTCATGAAGAATTACTGCCTTAAATAACCAATTACCTTATAACCCAGCCTGTTTGCCTTTAGCAGCCTTGTTACTGATGCCCTCACAAGCCATGTGTGGAGACCCTTCCTCTCCCATAAGGAAGTCTCTCCTAACAGCTCCATGTTACCCACACAGCTCCTTAATTAAATTCCTCCTTCCACCTCTCTCTTTTTCTCTCCTCAGGGCCCACCAACTGCAAAAATACAACTCCCTCTCCTCTCCTTGCACTTTGAATCCAAGAAAATTGCTCTCAAGTGAGGAGGTGACTCTCTGTGAGCACCAAGACACGGAATCACTTTGGCAGCCTTTGATCTTTAACAGTCCCCTGCATTTCAATTTTCATTTTTTTTCCTTGTCTTCAGTGTAGCCGAGCCTTGGTTTGGCGATTACAAACCTCCTGGCAGTGCAGTTGGGAACCAGACAAAACACAGAGGTGATAAATATTTATCAGCAGGAACTGGTAGGAACATCATTAAAAGTTTACAAGGATGAAAAATTAAGCTTTGATTTTTATCCCCTCTTAAAAAGGTTTCCTGCACACATATTTAAAAAAAAAATAAATTAAATAAATAAAATCAGAAGTTGTCACCACTTCATTTCCCTGTTTAGGAAAGAAACCTTTATGGACCATTCCTGCTAAAGTCAAATTCAGAATAAAACTCAGAGAAAAGGGAAAGTACAATGGAAATAGTGAGTAACAATTTGCCCCAGTCACCATGAGATTTCCAGTACAGACCCTTAACACTGTATGTTTCATCATTATTATATTATTTCAGCATTTTAATTTGCATTTTAGTGGATAAATATTGAGAGGATTTACAAAGCCTTCTACACTGAATGACTTCTTTGTTAAAAGAAATTATTCCAAACCCTGCAGTTTCCCACTCTCAGGTCATAGTCTGAATCCCTAACTTTGCTTTGTGATTTTCTTTGTCCTTCTGTCTGTTTTTGGCCTAGGACAGAAGGAAAACAGAAGGAAACCCATTATTAATGAAAATAGAGAGATATAATTTTTCATTCCTAAATTCTATCAGTTTGACAGGATTTTTTTTTTTTTTGCTGTTTACAGGAACCACTAAAGCATTTCTCTGACCACCTGCCAGTCCATAGATTTTAATATATTTTGACTGCATACAGACACAAGACTGGATTCCACCCTCTCTGAGAACAGCAGCAGGAGGAGGAATAGCCTAAAGCCAAAATAATGCCTGGAGGAATAAACATGGTATTAGGAAACATTTTTTACATCAATACAGACAAGAAAAGCATTGCTACCAGGAAAAGAATCTCTGCTTGGATGAACAACTAGGAAATGCTGGAAGAATGGTCAAAAATCAACTGGAGGCAGCAAATAAAGCAGAGCATCCACCACCACTGCTCCCAGTGCAAACCACCAAGCTTTGGGAGCCCCTGTCAGTTCTGAAAAGCCTCCTGGATGTGCTTCTGAGTAAAACAAGATTAAGATAATTATAAGAAAGGCTGATGCCTCATCAAAGCCATTAGGCTGATTGTGCACCCCGAAACCCGCAGATTTATTTTCTCAACACCCAAATAATAACTGGAACTAAACCCAATATCATTAAGATTTTATTAGCAAGAAGCTTCATTTAGACACCACCTCGCAATCTTTGCCAGGAAATCATGAACAATGTCAGTGTTGAACAGTTATGAAGTGTATGGATTAGTGATGGGTGGGTTGGAGAGGTTCTCCTCTGCTTTCCCAAGCCTTTCCTACAAAATTGTGCTCAAATGGGTGCAGAATATTGCCCCGAAATTTTGTGCCAGGTGAGACCCGAACGAAAGTTAAACCTGTTTGCTGACAACCACCCCCACGAGGCTGTAATGCAGAAACACCACTCTAATTCTTCATTCCCTATGTTTGTTATCTTCCTCCAAGGGAAACAGCTGTCTAGTGCCTCTGCACCCCGCCCCAGGAGCAGGTAAGAAATTATTCTCAGCACTTTTGACATTAAAAAATTAAAGGAACAGCAAAAGAACAAAAACTCATGCTCAGCACTGAATGACAGTGTGACTGGTTGGGCTGTGTGTGTCTTGCCCTAATGACAGCATTAAGTTCCACTTTGCTTTGTCCCCAAGCTCAAAGACCCTGAATTAAGATATGACTTTTTTGGTTCTTATTTTCCAATAAAAAACCCTCAACAGACTCACAAACCGCCAGGTTAAGGGGAGCACTGAGGAAGAAAATATTAACAGTCACAATTCCAGAGGTCAGTGTCCTGCCAAAGCTTATTGGGAGCACGAAAAGCTACAGCAATGACTCCACTGAACATGGAAAAATATTGTATAAGCTCCAGTAACTCCAGCATCACACAAGGACATGACTAGTAATGATTTCAGTGCAAAGAGGAGAACACAACAGGGAGGTGCAACAGGAACACAGGTTACTGTGAGTAACAGTTACACCTTATTTAACAACTGGGTAAAGATGCCTTTTAAACAACTTCCCCACAGTATCAATTCTAACTCGAGCTGAACACCCCCACATAAGTCTGGAGTTGTGTGTAATATTTAATTTAAGTTGGATGAGTTTAAAAGCAGCTGCGTGACTTTGGGAAAGTCACTTCAGTTCTCGCTGACAAAGTTTGCACATCTCTAAGGACAAGCACTTCAGCTGTGTCTCTCAAAAGAGGCTTAATTAGCTAATATTTGCACTAAAACCTGACATCTGGTGCCAAAATGCACTGGAGTGCAATACACACCCCAACACCCAGCCCTTAATAGGGACTTGAACATTTTTTTCTGGCATTATGAGATTTTTTTTCTGCAGCCTCTGTTAAAACTCTGGCTTAATGTTTATGATACAACTTATGCAGGTACCAGTGAGTGATGCCAGTTTGACACAGATGCTTATTCCCCAAAACCACTGCAAAGCCCAGGAGGTGCCAGCAGCAGCTGTCAACCCACCAGCTTTTCACTTTGGGGAGGGGATTGTTTTAAATGACCTCCTTCCCAAACCTCAAGTGGGGTTTAATAAAAGCTTAAGCAATCTGAAACGATCCAAAGGCCCTCAAGACTGGGTAGTTTGTCTCAGTAAATGGCATTTGGAAACTAATCAAAACCATATGGCTTTTCACAGCAACAATTATGCAGCTTTGTCTGGAGTAATGAAAAATTTCCCCAAGTTTTGCCTACAATTTTTATAGCAAAGAAGACCCAATTATAAGCAAAACAAAAGAGCTGTGGCCTTTTATCCTTTGTTAGGACCTAGTTGGGTGTGCCCTTTATGAAAGTTGATAATTCTTTTTCTAAGTGACCACTGGCAAGCCCTGGAAATTGAAGTTTTAAAGAAATATTTCACAGATGACATCAAAGGATGAGCAAGTGAACGATGGCACCAGCTCACCCTCCCACTGCTGGGGGCACTGGAATATTTGCCCTCTGCTTTTTCTGTTTACATCCCTTCTCACTCATGGCTCCACTGCTTGTTCCATTGCTGAGACATGTACCCAAGCAGAGCAGTGACACGAGCCCACCTGGTCCCCATTATTTGCCACAACACCAAAATAACTGAGCTGCTGAACTCGGAGTTCCCTGGAAACCCAGCTGGAACACAGACCCTTCCCTCAGGAGGCTGTGAGTCTCAGGGCATTGGGAATTTGACAGAGATCCCTGTTTTTTTCTGAAAGCTGAGCTCTGTTTTGCTGCCTTTTGTTTGCCCAAGGAGGGTTTTTCACGGTTTGCTTTAATTTTTTTTTCAGCCCTGTGTGTTTTCAGAACCCGAAAGGCTTCGTGATTATGCTGGTTCTGAAATTAGGAGAGGCCCCTCTCTGCAAGAGGGCTGTTTTACAACTGCTAAAAGCCACCAAAAAATATGATAGAAAATTAGATGAGGAGTAAATGATCCAAATTGGTGGTGACAGGTGTCTGCATGTCCTTTAGAAAGCCAATTTCTGTGGCTGTATCATGCAGAAACAGCACTGCTGTACTGCCTTGAATGACACCCTGTCAAAAACTCACACACCACAGTGAGCCCTTTGTCATTCCATTTAAAGGGTTTTTTCCTAACGATTAGAAAAGCAGTGTCAATGTTATTCTCACCTATTATTCTTGTTCAACTCACAGGAAACTATTTCTCCTTCTATTACGTTCCAACAAAAACATACACACACACATCAATCACTTCTTTATACATCACTGAATTTTAATTTCCAAATAAGAACATGACTAATATTCAGGCTTAGAGAAATGAAAACGTTAGTGGCTTTTACACTATGTTTTACTTAAAAAGTCTCTCCCTAGAGACTCCTGTAAAGCAAATTTGATAACACATCAGTGCTATCACTCTACTGAGTCGATGTTAATAGCAAGGAGCCTCCAAAGCATAAACCCTGTGTCTCTGTGTCTATCTGTATCTTCCCATGGATCATTATTCCTACAGAATGAGATATTCAATGAACCTTGATAAAGGAACCCCATAGTTTAGATCCAGGAGCAGCACAGGAAGGGAAAGGGCAGGTGACACCCCGTGCATCCAAGTGTGGAGTTATTGGGAATTAGCAGTAACTGGATACTGTGCCATTCCAACTGTACTAAAAATAAGCCTTTGGTTGGGACACTCACACTTCAGCTGATGGTTTACAAATCCTTGGATCAGCACTTCAGGAGTTCTTTCAGCCTGTTTGTATTTTATGGGGTGCTGTGGTCGGTATTTCACCCTTGAGACTTGGCTGTACTTT